TTGGACTATAAAGAAAGCTGAGCACCGAAGAATTGATGCTTTTGAACTGTGGTGTTGGAGAAGACTCTTGAGAGTCCCTTGGACTGCAAGGAGATCCAACCAGTCCATCCTAAAGGAGATCAGTCCTGGGTGTTCACTGGAAGGACGGATGCTGAAGCTGAAACTCCAATACTTTGGCCACCTGATGCGAAGAGCTGACTCATTTGAAAAGACCCTGATGCTGGGAAAGATTGAAGGCAGGAGGAGAAGGGGACAACAGAGGATGAGATGGTGAGTTGTCATCACTGACTCAATGGACATGACATTCAGTAAACTCCGGGAGTTGGGGATGGACAGGGAGGCCTGGCATGCTGCGATTCTCGGGGTCACAAAGAGTCGGACACGACTGAGCGACTGGACTGAACTAGCTTATCTGTAGATAGGAGACCTAACTGAGGGCATTTCTTTTTTCTTTTCTGTTATTTTTCTCTTCTCCTCTTTTCTTTTTCCCTCTTCTCCACCCATCCTCCCCCCAGTCTTTTCTCCTCTTTCTTCCTTTAAAAGTGTATAGTATGTAGAAAAACAATAATGAAAAAGAAAATAAAAAGTAAAACTGTATAGTATAAGCATATTTATAGGCTGATGGTAAGAAACTACTAGACAGGTTGAAAATACAGAAGGAGGAGAGTACTTAGCATTACTGATAGACTAGAAGATGGGAGTAAAAGAACACAGCTCTAGGGATAAGCTTTAAACACATGAAACCATGCTGTTGAGGGTTATTATACACTCTCATCATACACCTGGCAGAGGGTTAGGTGGTTGAAGGAGTCTGAAGACCTTTATTTTGACTGATATTTGGCATATTTAATCTGCCAAGGGTGTGTTTGGGCAAAGGACTTAAGAAGAGATGAGAGTTTGTAGTAGTTGACCAAGGGTAAGTAAAATAATTGATGAGTAGTTTTGAGAGCCTGAGAATGGATTGCCAATTTTCAGTTTAGCATTTTTCTCCATCTGATTTTTTTCTATATGAAGTTGAATAGAATTGTGTTGAAGTTGAATTGAATTTAAGATTGGAGGTTTGCAGGAGCTGTAGAGTAAAGGAGTAAGGCGGTGGTGATCATATGCATACAATTGTATTTATCTAGGGGAAGAATAGTTGAGCGTGCCCATTATTTAGATTGTCCTTTGACATCACCCAGGATACTGGCAAGATTTACATTGGCTAGGCATAAAGATCTTAGAACTTAAGTCTTCATTGAGTATGGAGAGTGAGGATGTAATGGGTTCCATAGAAGGCTGGAGGCTAGATAGCATAATTCTCAAAGAGAAGGGGGTTTCACACAAAGGTAGATGACTGACAGCCTGGAACTGGAGGGGATCCAGGAGAATACCGACCTCTCCTCTCATGGCTGTGTATGTTGGGATTGGAAAAATGACCACATTGGTTTGATGGGGTGTTATGGAACAAGTAGAGTTCTAACAAGAGAAACTAGGCTTTGTACTACTGATGGCCAGGAGGTTCAGGGCTATAGAATTTTTTTGTAATGAAAGCATGAGTGTTTCAGAGAGCCCAGTAGAATTGACTGAAGGATGAAAGAAGTAGGATGATAGATTGAGTGTTGGAAATATGATGGGATATTGAGACAGTTTCCAGACTGTTAACGGGGTCTCTGGGCTTCCCAGGTTGTGCTAGTGGTCAAGAACCTGCCTGCCAATGCAGGAGATGTAAGAGACACGGGTTCAATCCCTGGGTTGTGTTGGGAAGATCCCCTGGAGGAGGGCATGGCAACCCACTCCAGTATTCTTGCCTGGAGAATCCCATGGACAGGGGAGCCTGGTGGGCTACAGTCCGTCGGGTCCCAAAAGATTTGGACACGACTTAGCGAATTCACAAGCACATGTGTAGTGTACAGGTCATCACAAGATTATATTTGCTTAATTTTAAATGGCATAAAAGCATATAGAAAATATTAGTAAAATTACTGGAATGTAATACATTCAGAAGTGATAAAGAAATTTAGCCTGGTCATTTTGAGTTAGTATAAATGAAAAGTAGTATTTCCAACTTGCCTGTAACAATGTGTCCACTGGGTGTCACTGTGGCTTTGTATTTAGTTACACAAATAAATAATTGTAGCTTTGTGTTTGTGGAATCAGTGTTATACAGGTCTTCTCCCTGCTTATTTTTCTCTTTTGCAGTGAATTTTGCTAATATTTTTTTTTCTGTTTATTTTTAGATATAGTTATTTATCACCACTGCAGATAAAGCAGATACCTGTCCCTAAGCTGGCTGCTCCAAGCTGTCTCATTGTTACATGGGTAACAAATAGACAGAAGCACCTGCGTTTTGTCAAGGAAGAGCTTTACCCATCTTGGTCTGTGGAGGTAGTTGCTGAATGGCACTGGGTAAAAGTAAGTCCCCAAGTTAACGTATTTGTTAACTTTATTTATTCATAAGGTGTAATGCACAAGTCACATAAAGGTAGCGCCTACTTTTTAATGTTTACCATGGCATCACTCTACTTCTTCAACATGCTCTAATTAAAACATTTGCTTTGCTGCTAAATACCTTTGTCTTCTTATTCTCAAGGCTTTTTGCCCATTCTGTATCTTTTTGGAGTAGAACCCCAAACTCCTAGTCGTAGGAAATCACTCAGATGGATATCAGGATGACACTTTTTTTTTTTTCCCATTTATTTTTATTAGTTGGAGGCTAATTACTTTACAGCATTGCAGTGGTTTTTGTCGTACATTGAAATGAATTAGCCATGGGTTTACATGTATTCCCCATCCCGGTCCCCCCTCCCACCTCCCTCTCCACCCCATCCCTCTGGGTCTTCCCAGTGCACCAGGCCCGANTTTTTGTCATACATTGAAATGAATTAGCCATGGGTTTACATGTATTCCCCATCCCGGTCCCCCCTCCCACCTCCCTCTCCACCCCATCCCTCTGGGTCTTCCCAGTGCACCAGGCCCGAGCAATTGTCTCATGCATAGGATGACACTTTAAAAAGCTCTGATGGTCTGTAGTTTAAGAGACAGTAAGCAAAAACCTTGGGGGATTTGTCCACCACTAAACATAGAAATTGTCTTACTGTTTATCTTCTTCCTCTTTACTCATTCAAAACTTCAGCTGCCCTTTGACTTCTTTTTCTTTTTTCTCGCAAGGCCTTTTATACTGTGAATCTTAACTGTGTTCCTCAGTGCTTGTTTTTGAAAGAAATGATTCCAACTCCTTGATGAGTTGAAAGGTCTTTAATATTAATCTTTGCTTGGTTTCAAGAATACCAAAAAATATAGAAAAGTCACATGTCATTCAAAGTTCATTGGCTATCCTTTTAAAGGTACACTGTCTACTTAAATGAATTCCACAAAAGCCATCCTAAATTTTAAAAAGACAAACCAGGTTTTATGGACTGAATGTTTAACATTTATGTTACTGGTCTGTTCATTTTAGACACAGGAGAGGGCTGTTTTTAATGTGCTTTGTAGTGTACTGGAGCATCTTCTGAAAGCTGTGTGCATTGTTTATTTGTACCTATTTTATGACACTTGGCAAACAAGTGCTTATAATTGTTTGTTTGCTTTTACAGTTGTACTTTGGGCTTAGCTCTGGTTGATTTGCTATAGGATTGTTATGGGCATGTAAAACTCCATTCTACTCTCTCTGTTACGACAGTCCTTTCATAGTCAGAAACTGGGACCAAAGTCAGGAAAAGGTTACCTTCTGAAATTAAAACCAGTAAAATGTTTTTTTTTTTTTTTTCAGTAAAATGTTAATACATGAAAACTAAGACTGTTCATTTCTAGTAGTAATCAGTTCTAAGAGGTGGTATGATAGTTTAAAACAAAAATATGTTTTACTTACTTATGAAATATGTAAAATATGTAAACATATGAAATACTTACTAGGTGTTTGCATATATTGTTACATCAATGGAGTAATCTGCCTTGAGTATGAAGGAATCCAAAGCGTCAGAATTTGCCAGTGTTTATACAGCACTGTGTGGAATAGCTGCTGCTATTTGCAGGCCCTAGAGGTGATAAAAGGACTTTACTGGCTTGGTTTTTAGGTACCTTGATATAGGCTAAAGGATTCCATAGAGGATATATATGAATATTATGATAGTGCAAATATCTGCCTCCATGCTTAATTAACGAATTGAATATTGTTTTAAATTGTGTTATGAGTTTGATTAGTTAGAGTGAGTCTCTGGGAGTCTGATCAATCACTCCAGGATGAAATGATGAGATTGAATTTCAGATTTATAATGCCAAGAGGTTAGAACTTTCATTGTCTGTCTCATCAGTTCCCAAGCTACTTTGATTATTAATTTTAACTCTTGACAGTATTTAATGACACTGTTTTCTATAAATAAAGGAAAATACTTTATTGTAATATACTTAGTCACATTGCCAGTAATCTAGGTAAATGTTATTTGAATGAACAAATGAATAAATGATGGCATGGTTTCTAGTAACATATTTTAATGAGAAACCAAGAGTTTTATGTGCAAGATGACAGAAATTTAAAATAATGCTTTAGTCATGTAATGCTGCCCTGCCCGCCGTGGTGTGGTGTGGTGTGGTGTGTCACCAGCTACATGCAGCTCTTCAGCACTTGAAAGGTGACTGGTCCACACTGAGATGAGGTGATAAATGTCACATCTAAGTCTTTTGAATTTAAAATACTTAATATGAAAGACTGTAACATACCTCAGTAATTTTTTGAATTGGCTACATACTAAAATAATATTTTAGATATGTTAGATTAAATTAAAAATAATTTAAAATTAAAGTATAGTTAAGATGAATTTTGTCTCATTCTTCTTGCTTTTTTTAAATGTTGATACTAGAAATTTTAAATTACATGGGTGACTTCCAACTGTGGCCCACATTATATTTTTATTGGATAGCAGTAGCCTTGAGGTTTAATAATTCTTTTTCTTTGGTAGAAACTGTATACTGGAAGAAAAAAAAAAAACAATCCTTTTCCTGGATATTTATGTTTGTATGGGTTGTTTTTGTTTCTGTCTCCTTTTTGTCAGATCACCAGTTCAGGAGAGTTTGTGTTCCCATTAGATTCTCCACACAAAAAGCCTTATGAAGGTCTTATACTGGGAAGAGTTCGAGAAAAAGCTGCTTCACTGTTAAGGTAGGAAGGATGATTTTTCAAAGTTGTATAAATGTATTAATTTTCAGACTTTCAAAAATTAACACAGTAATCATTGGTTTTCCTGAATTTTTACATTTTTGAAAATCTGGAAATGGCCCCGACAAGAAAACTGTGAATGCTAATGGCACATGAAATTGTATATTGTCATTTGCTTTATCTAATGTGTAATAGTCATGATTGTAGAAGAGGAAACTATCTGAAATTTCTTAATACTTAAATTGTTGATTTCCATGATTATTTCTCTTCTTAAATTTATTATAAAGGAAGATGCTGTTTGAAAGGTGAAAAGAAATCAAGATAACTGTGGCTTAAATGTAATAAGTTGTCCTTTAAGATACAGTTACGTTGTTCTGCTTCCGCAGGAATGCCGATGAGGAAGAGCTGCCCATTCCAGACCACAAGTTAATTGTCAGTGTGCCCTGCGCGCTGCATTCACATAAGCCACCTCTCGCTGGTATGTTTCTGTAAAGTAGAATTGTTCTGACTTCTGTGAAATTGACAAAAGGATTGATTACTGCATTTGAATGGTCTAGAGATTTGGAAATTCAATCAGATATGTGTTATTTTAATTAATATTCTAAAATCATATAGCAGAATTTGTGCAATAGAGAATAGATTATTTTTGTGTTTTTTTTTTCTTTTTTTGCTCCAGAAACCTTTTATTGTTTGCGTTTGGTCCCTGGCTTTGGGGAAAGGGCTCCAGATGGTTAACCAGGGAGGGGCTTGGCCAGAGGCCCTGACATCAGGTGGGGGAGCCTGGCCTCCGAGGGGGAGCTGGGCTCGCTGGCCTCTTGTGCTCTGGGAGTGTCAGCCTTCCCAGGAGGTACCAACCTGGCTGGCCTGCAGAGGTTGGTCAGGTGGCCACCACATCCAGGAGGTGGCGCTTCAGGAAGGCACAGAGATGGGGGACCTATGTGGGCAGAACCCAGGGCGTACAGATCCAGAGCGGTCTGGTTCAGGGCCTTCTCCAGGCCCGTGGTGGCATCCAGTGCTTGTCCCACTTGTCTGGGGGCGGCTCGGGCCTCGGGGAAGCGGGGGATGCTGCCGCTGCCGCTGTGCTGGCCCTGCATCCTCAGAGGCTGCCGGGCCAGCGCATGGGAGGAGCGGGGTCGGGAGCCCTCCAGGGGCGCATCGTGGCCTCGAATCAAAGCCCACAGAGAGGTGGGTGTCGGAGACCCGCCCACCAGTGGCCGACCACTTCTTCCGCTGGGTGGAATAATTCTCATGGGTCTGGGAGCGCATCATCGTGGTCGGCAGTAAGGAGCTCACCGCAAAAATGGTGCTGAATGGTCTTGGGGAGGTTGTGATCTGAAAGAAGTCTGGAGGGTGGCTGGAAAAAGGGTCTGTTAGGTCCAAACTGTTGAAGCGGAGATGGAGCTGTGGGAACACCCAGGGGACAGTATAGAGTCATCTTACCTTACCGCAGTCTTTCCTCTCCCACTGTGTTTTAGGGTCCCCTGACTAATGGGGCTCATTGGCACAACCCAGTGAAGACTGGTGGTACTTCTGAGGACTGTAGTTCCGGGGGCTTTATTGTACTGTCAGGGCTCCACCCCTTGCTTGTTCTAAAGCCCAGAGCTTAGAAAGCAGTCAGAGAGATGCTTTGGAGAAGGCAGTGGCAACTCACTCCAGTGCTCTTGCCTGGAAAATTCCATGGATGGAGGAGCCTGTTGGGCTGCAGTCCATGGGGACGCTAAGAGTCAGACACACTGACTGGCTTCACTTTCCCTTTTCACTTTCATGCATTGGAGAAGGAAATGGCAACCCACTCCAGTGTTCTTGCCTGGAGAATCCCAGGGACGGGGGAGCCTGGTGGGCTGCCGTCTCTGGGGTCGCACAGAGTCGGACACGAGTGAAGGGACTTAGCAGCAGCCGCAGCAGCAGCAGAGAGATGCTTACAATTCCCTTGATATGGTAGACAGTCTCAGTTTTATGTTGAGTAGTGTTGCTCTTCTGAGCCGTTGGAAAGGTAGTTGCTGTATCCTGCAGTTCTTACTAGTCTTAATGTTTTAGTGTGATGTTCATCATTTAATGAAACTAAACAGCAAGGAATAGTGGAGAGTTTTGGCTTTTCAGATTCAAGGACCTTGAATCCTGGCTTTGCTACTTGAGCGAGTTACTGATAATTTTCCACCTCAGAGTTGTCGTTTGAAGAGTGGATAATGATATTTAGTCTTTCAGAGTTGTGAGGATTGGTTGCATTTGAAAGTCTGTCACATATAGTAGGAGATCAGTAAATGCTAAGTTTTTCAACTGAAAGAATAAAAAAATAGGAAGGAATATAAGTCCTTGAGAAATACTGAATTTGTCATTCAAAGTTCATGAGCTAGGATACATAGGAAGGTGAATTCACATTCCCAAAAGGATGTTTACTTACCGGTAGCACTCCAGATTTCTCGTATCTTAGATTGCTTATGCAGATGAGTCTTTAGTGTTAATTCATTTGAGAAATATTCAGATGTCTACCTGTTGATCCATTTTTTGACCTAGAGGGATTCTCAGTGAGTAATTGCCTTTAAACTTTGGACTGTGATAGATTCTTTAATGCAAGTAAACATTTGACTTAAATGGAAAGTCTGTACTGTTCTTTGAGAAAAAAATTATGTTTGCTACCAGTTATACTCAGTGGAGGAAATCTAAGTTGTATTCTTCTCATTTGAATTTTCTTTATCATTTGGTGAGTATCAAAGTTTAATAAAAGGTTTGTCTTTAGGACTTATTCTTTTTACTTTGAAAAATCCAAATGTCAGACCCAAAAAACCTTTCATTCCCAAATGATAAACTATTTCTCAATTCATTTTATATAGATTATGTTTAAAGATGAGTCTTAAGATACAAGGTTTTATAAAATAGTGATTAAAATTAGTGTTTTATTACTATTAATGAAAATTAACACTACATTTTATAGCTTGTATTTATGAAGTGCAGTTCTTCTGTGTTCCCAATAGAGAGCAACACAAACACATTTTTAGGACTGAGAAGATTTAAAAAGAAAAGTTAGATTTTGAGGGGAAAATTTTGCGTGATTCAATATATGTAATCCTTATGTTTTGGTTAAGTACTGGTAGGTAAGAAGTATTTATAATCCTTTATTTTTGAGTTCATGTTTCTGTATAGTAAGTGTCTGTGTTTTGGATGTAGAGCTACATAAGGCCATCAGAAAGCAACTTTCAGATTTCTGCAATATATTTTATTCTGAAATTATAACTGTAGGATTTGGTATAATACATGCTTTCTATGTAATGCTTAAAACTTTTACATGTAAATGTTCTTAAAGTGCTTTTTGCAAATTTACAGAATGAAATGTTTTCTCCTTAACTTCTAAAAACACCAAGGTGTTTTTTTTTTAAACAAGTTTTAGTTTGTTATTTGTACTGCAAAATTTAAAAAACACCAAATTGGCAGCATATTCCATTTCAAAATGATACATTTACTCTTTTTAAGTTTTGAAATTTCTTCCTGTGGATTGAAACATAAGCCAACAATAGCTATGGCTTTTCAGCCTAATGTAAATTTATAATCTTTTAAGTTTAAAGATTTAAGGTATGAATATAATGAAATAAAAGTATTTGAATCAAAATTTTGTTTTTCATATTGCTCCTTAGAGGAGTTTCTGCTTCTTTTCACTGGTTTACTCACTAACAGTCTGTGTCTGGAGAGTTAAATACAATTTGATGAGATTCTATGCACTGACATCTGAGTACTTTTCCCCCAGCCGCCTCTTGCTCCCAAGCAGAAGGGGAATGAACTAGCTATATATGAACTATTTCCTCTCCATTGGTTAGAAGAATGTTTTACTAATGCCAGATGTTATGTAATTATTTATACATATGTCATATTTAAATTTATACATGTGAATTTACTTTTAAAAATTGGGATATAAATGCCATATAACATCGTATTAGTTTCAGGTGTGTAACATATGATTCAAGGTATATATACATTTTCACTGATCACAATAAGTCTACACATAATTATAATATTTTTTCCTGTGATGAGAACTTTTAAGATCTTACATTTTCATTTAAATTGATATTTAAAATTAGTAAGAATAAAACATTTCCATTAATTTGCCTTGTTTCTTTTGCTTTGTTTTGAAATTAAACATATGTAGTTAACATTGTAAAAACTTTACTCCTTGATTTTCTGTGTTTTGCAACTAAAAAGGAAAAATGTGATGCCAAAATGTGTTCCATTGATAAAGTGGGAGAGGATAAATGGGTTTAGGTTTTATGTATTTTTTTCACTTCAAATACCTGGCCATCTTTTTCTGTTAGTTTGTGAAGTCTTAGAAAACATGGATATCTGTTTCTTTTGTTAAGTTCCATAGTGCTTATAATGGGTGCTCAGAAATAGTAAACAGTTTTGATTGGCTGATTCCAGTTTGGATTCTAGTTTAATATGCCAAAGTAGAGTCATTAACATCTTTGTACTGAAGAACTGAACAAACAAGCAGAAACAAGAAAACAAAACCTTACTTCAGTATAATGTTGCTGCTGCTGCTGCTGCTAAGTCGCTTCAGTTGTGTCCGACTCTGTGCGACCCCATAGACGGCAGCCCACCAGGCTCCTCTGTCCCTGGGATTCTCCAGGCAAGAACACTGGAGTGGGTCAGTATAATGTTAGACCACTTTAAAAGTGAGTTGAGGCTGGTGAGGCATTGAATTCATGGGGCAAAACATGGAAAAGTGATATAAAAGTTTATTGTCCTTTAAGACTCTGGGGAAATGTTTCTAACTCAAGGTTAATAGCATTTAGTTATATACTTATGAAAGGACTAGAAGTCTCATGTCAGCATCTCCTGCTGCTACTGGTGCTAAGGCACTTCAGTCATGTCCAATTCTGTGCGACCCCATAGACGGCAGCGCACCAGGTTCCCCCGTCCCTGGGACTCTCCAGGCAAGAACACTGGAGTGGGTTGCCATTTCCTTCTCCAATGCGTGAAAGTGAAAAGTGAAAGTGAAGTCACTCAGTTGTGTCTGACTCTTAGCGACCCCATGTACTGCAGCCCACCAGGCTCCTCTGTCCATGGGATTTTCCAGGCAAGATTACTGGAGTGGGTTGCCATTGCCTTCTCTGTCAGCATCTCCTAGAAGCTATCAAAGCCTAGATTTGAGTTTGTTTGAGTTGTAGGCAATGAATACTTTTGATTCTTTGATAGATAGGATCAATGTTTTTAGACAAACAATTATTTTGCTGTGGAAGCAACTAAAGAACTTTATGAAATATAAAATTTTTCATATATTACCTTTTAAATCTAACCTCTATGAAGTATTTCTAAGGAACCCTTATCATTCCTAAAGAGAATTTGATGGATTTCTTTGAAGCTCAATCCTATAAAGCCATTAGGAACTATATTTTGCCTGTTCTAATGACTTTTCATACTTAAATTGTTATTTTCATACTAAGTTCCTGTTCCAAAAAATATATAGCTAACCAGCAACGTGATCAAGGTTAAACCGATTTAAATATTTGTCATTCACATGAGCATGTGCTTAAAAAAAAGCTTGTTAGTGTAGATTACAGCTATGAGATGCCATTTTCCCAACAAAATACAGTGCTCAGTAGTTATGAATATATTGAACAAGGAATGTTTAACTGTGGAAATAATATAGTGAAATTTTAGGTAAAGAAGTATCTGTAATTTGGAAGTGAAGAAATGTTCTCAGTACTGCCAAATTATAGCTGAGGAGGTAAGAGTTATTTGTTAGGTATATGTTCTGAATATTTATCTGTGTGTCCAACTCTTAACACTAAAGTATGTTTTTGTGGAGACTTACCCTGATATTTATCTTAGTTTGTAAAGTGGATTGTCTTTGTATTATTCCTATATACTTTTGTCCATGCATGGATTACATTTATTAAAAAATAAATTAAGCTAGTACTCGGGAGCTATGTCAGCATTATTGGAAAACTGAAAAGTCACTGGTGTGGGTGTTAAAATCCTCATTTCTCCTCTACAAATGAAAACTGATAAATCAGGACTATTGAAAGTTCTGATGGTATTCTCAATCTCAAGGGTGCTTATTTCAAATGACTTTCTAATTATAAATAGTGAAGTCTATGATGAAATCCTTGAAATTAACTTGCTGTTTTTCTTTTTTAAGGAAACATCTCTGCTTTTCTCCTCTTAACTACTAAAGGAGGTTGATTCCTTCCTTAATAATAATTTTTGTGGTTTTTTTTTTTTTTTTCTTTTCTCTTTTTGGACAGAGGTTCTAAAAGACTATATCAAGCCAGAGGGAGAATGTTTGGAATTGTTTGCTCGAAATTTACAGCCAGGTTGGACTAGTTGGGGCAATGAAGTTCTCAAATTTCAACACATGGATTATTTTGTTGCTCTGAAGTCTAAAAGCTGACTAGGCTCTTAAAATTGTGTTTTTCTTTGGTTTTTCCTTACTCCTCCTTTCATTCGGATTGGTGTTTCCCTTTTTTTTTTTTTACCAACCAATATGCTTAGAGATGTAAACAGAACTTTGCTTTTCAGCAAAGTGACTAGAAGTGACTGACCGTCATATAATTTCAAGATGAATTTTACTTCAGGTGCACTAGTATTCCACATTATTCTGGACTCTACAAATAAAAGAGGTAAGCAGTTTGAAAGAAGGCAAGACTTTGTTATTGAAAAAGTTCAGAAAGCATGCATTATGGACCTGAAGTCATAATTCTGCATATGGTTGTGTTTTGTTTAGCCCACATGGTGTTGTAAAAAAATTTTTGAACCATAAGAGAATTTCAGGAAATCAGGAAATTTCACATACTAAGTCTTTAATCATCAGAAGCTCTGGCTAGACAGTCTGGCTGTGCAGTCTGTACTTTTTGCTGACATCAGTCTGTGGGACCCAGTGATGCCAACATTTGGGAAGGGCCACGTACTGTCCAGGTTACTTCAGTAACCTTGCCCCATGCCAATCAGTTATATGTTTTACTTGACCCCTGTACAACCTGAATTTAGAACTTCTTGTTTAGTGTTACATTCTGGAAAACATTCAAAGGCCTGTCAAGTAGCACATCATTGTACTGAGTTCATGAGACTTTTTTTTGGAGGGTTTTAAATTGCATTCATGGTCACTTTTCAAGTACTTTTTAGTTTTGCTTGTTCCTCTAAAAGGCAAAAAAAAATTCTTACAATGTTAGAGAGTAAACATTGCTTGGACTTAATTGATATTTATAGACTATTCCATCTGAAAGCAGCAGAATACGCATTCTTCTTTAGTGCACTTGGAGCATTCTGTAGGGTGGATCACATGCTGGGTCTCAAAACAAACCTCAGTAAATTTTAAAAAGTTGAAATCACATCAAACATATTTTCCAACCACAATACTATGAGATTAGAAATCAGCTACAGGAAAAAGCTAGTAAAAACTCTAAAAACTGTGACATGCTGATGAAAGAAATGGAATATGACACAAACAGATGGAAAGACACACTGTTCTTGGATTGGAAGAATCAATATTGCCAAAATTACTATGCTACCCAAGGCAATGTACAGATCCAGTGCAATCCCTAACAGATTACCAATAGAATTTTTCACAGAGCTGGAACAAAAATTTTAAAATTTGTATGGAAACATGAAAAACTCAGGATATCCAAAGCAATTCTGGCAAGGAAAAATGGAGTTGGAGAAACTGGACTCCCTGACTTTAAGCTATATTACAAAGCTACAGTAATCAAAGCAGTATTGTACTGGAACAGAAACAGAAATATAGATCAATGGAACAAGATAGAATGCCTAGATAGAAACCCACACACCTATGGTTAGCTAATCTACAATAAAGGAGGCAAGAATATACAATCGAGAAAAGACAGTCTCTTCAGTAAGTGACACTGGGAACACAGCTATATATTAAAGAATGAGCTTAGAATATTCTCTAACACTGTACACAAAAGTAAACTCAAAATGGATTAAAGGCCTAAACGTAAGACCAGATACTATAAAACTCTTATAGGAAAACATAGGCAGAACAGTCTTTGACATAAATTGCAGCAATATCTTTTTGGATCTACCTCATAGACCAATGAAAATAAAACCAAAAATACAGAAATGGGACCCAGTTAAGCTTAAAAGCTTTTGCACAGTAAAGGCAACCATAAGCAAAGTGAAAAAACAACTCACAGAATGGAAGAATATATTAATATTTGCAAATGAGGTGACCAACAAAGATTAATCTCCAAAATAATACAAATAGCTCTTGCAGCTCAATATTAAAAAAAAAAACCAAAAATAACCCAGTTTAAAAAAAAAAAAGGGCAGATCTAAATAGGCATTTCTCCAAAAAAATACATACAGATGGCCAAAAAACACACGTGAAGATGCTCAGCATTGCTGATTTTTAGAGAAATGAGGTATCATCCCACACTGGTCAGAATGACCATCATCAAAAATCTACAAACAATAGAAGAGGGTGTGGAGAAAAGGGAACCCTCCTGCAGTGTTGGGAATGTAAATTGGTACAACCACTATGGAGAGTAGTATGGACATTCCTTAAAAAACCAAAATCTGCCACATGATCCAGCAGTCCCACTCCTGGGCTCATATCCAGAGAAAACTATAGTTTGAAAAGATATGTGCACCCCTGTGTTCATTGCAGCACTAGTCACAGCAGACAAAATATGAAGCAGCTGAAATGTCCATTGAGAGAGGAATGGATAAAGAAGATGTGATATGTACAGTGGACTGTTAGCCATAAAAAAAGAAATAATACCATTTGCAGCAATGTGGATGGACCTAGAGATTATCATACTAAATGAAATAAGTCAGAGAAAGACAAATAGCATATGATACCACTTATATGAAAAACTAAAAAGTTGATACAAATGAATTTATTTACAAAACAGAAACAGACTTATAGTCTTTGAAAACAAATATATGGTTAGCAAAGGAGAAAGGCTGAGAGGGGGGAGGAATAAATTAGGAGTTTGGGATTAACAGATACACAAATAGATCATCAGAAAAGACCTACTGCATAGTACAGGGAACTATACTCAGTGTTCTATAATAACCTATATGGGAGAAGAACCTGAAAAAGTGGATGTATATTTGTGTATAATTGACTCACTTTGCTGTACACCTGAGACTAACAACATTGTAAATCCACTATACCCCAATATAAAATTTAAATTAGAAAATAAAAGTAAAAAAAAAAGTTCCCTCCCCAAAAAAAGTAAAAAAAAAAAGTAACCACTGCTTATGATTGTGAAAAAATTTTTATATATTATTTCCATATTTTCTACAAATAAGTGTTTACTAAATAAAATATTTTACTGAAATTATTCTTTGAAAAGCATGCTGACTTATGTGTAACCTGTAAAAATTTTTTTGAGGTATATTTTTTCACAGAGTAACGTTCTCCAGTTTTCGGTGTAGAATTCAGTGAGTTTTGAAGATGTATATACAGGTGTCTGTCTACAGCCATAAACATTATATAGAACATTTCCTTCATCCCCTGAAATTCATGTGTCCATTTGCGTCAGCGGTATCCTCCCACCTTTGCCATTGGCAAATAATGATTTGTTTTGTATCATTAGTTTTGCATTTTTTAGAATTTCATATAAATGAAAACATAGACTATGTAATCTATTGTGTTTGGCCTTTTAGCATTTTGAGAAAAGTGTTTATACTATTTACAGATTTTCTACAAATGTTTATCTACTAAGTAAAATGTTAGATTGAAATGACTGACTGACTGTCAGGATTGCCAGTTTATTTGCTGATTTTGCCAAATAAAAATTCTGTTTTTGAAGTTTGTTAATTCTTTGAGTATGTGAGTTTCAGAGGCTTAACTCTGAGCCTTACTTTAGTTGCTGCCTTTGTTCTGACCTTGTAGACTCTATCTGCCTTGTCCTGTTCTAGTCATCAAGATTCTGGACTCAAACTCGCTCTCACCAGAAAACCCGTCTCCCAAATCTTACCTTTTCAGTCTTGGAACTCTAGAGACCTATCTTCAGCGATTTTTATGTATTCGGCTTCAGAGAGACATTGGATTTTTTACTGACTGTGATTCAGAGGAAGATTATAATCACCTTAAAGGGCTTTCCCTTCCTTAAAGATGCTGCTTAATTCACTTCATTTGACTCACATCATGTCCTGTTGGGTTGCCACATGCTGGGAAGCACCACAGCACTTTTGGCCTAGTTTTTGGGTTATCAGAGTTCTTTTACTTCAGTTATGTCACTTTATCCTCCAAGCAGTCTTATGAAGTTGAAGTTATAATGAGGGAACAGGTTCATAGAGGTGAGCTGACATGGTTAATAAATGATAACCAAGATGTGAATTCTATTCTGTTTGCTCAGTTAGGACACTTCATGTTGTACCATGTTTCCTAATGAACTTGCGGTCTTAATAGTAAGCATATCAGCTACTAATCAGAGGATCCACCATGTGGCCTGAAGCAAATTTAGAATGGTTTATAGGTAGTCATCCAAGATAACTTTCTCAATGTATGATGCCATCCATCTTGGATTATGAGCACAATATTTTTTTGTTAGGGATTTTAGTGACATTAGTTGGAGTGACAGTCTGTGTGTGACTCAAGAGTCAGACGGGCTGCTAAACCCTTTGACATAGGCTGTTAGCACATTTACCATGCAATTGTATTTCCTCAATCAGAATAGCCATTTTTTAATTCACATTTTTAAGGAAGCCCTTCTGCAAGAGGTAGACTTGGACTGGAAGGTGGCGGTTCTGCTTGTTAGATTAAGTGACAGAAGTACAGGTGCAGATAATTTGATGCACCATGGTTATCTGCCATCAGTGTTTGGTTGTGTAGACCAACCCCAAACTCCATAGAGAATCTTAATCAAATTCATGAATCTGTTGATCAATCTGATCCAGCTTGAAAGCAAGTCAGAATACCAGAATACCATGATAATTTCATGGAATATTTTCTTCTAAATATTCCTAGGAGTTGACATAGATTTTCTACGGCTTCTGTGAACATGAGTGAAAACTACTGGACTTCTTCAGTATCGGTGCAAGTACTTGGGGCTATATAAAAATGAATTGATCTCTAGGAGTGGAGAGCATGAGGAAAACTTTTTTCCAACCACTTTTTCTGATTAAATTTTGGCCTGGTCATCAGATAACTGTGACACAGCAGTGGGGTAGCTTTGGATGACAGCTAGGTGAATGAATGGTCATTTGTAGCATTGAGGCCAGGCCACAGCTGTGAAAGCGAGTCCTAACTACTAGACCACCAGGGAAGTCCCTGGAAGAATCCATTTTCAAGTTCATTCAGATTGATAGCAGAATTCAGTTGTTTCCTTGCGGGCCATTGGCTAGGAGTCAACTCAGCTTCTAGAGGCTGTTCTCTGGTCTTTGCACATGACTCCTTCCATCTTCAAGGTCAAAGAAGTGCATTGAGTGCTTCTTACCCTTTGATTCTCTGACTTTGCCTTGTGTTGTCATCTAGAGAAAATTCTGTTTTTAAAGTGCTTTTCCGATTAGATTGGACCCACCTGGTTAATCTCCCTTTTTTCATACAATGAAATAGTCATGGGCGTGATAATTCATCATGTCACAGGTCCCCACCAAACTCAAAGGGGAGAGGGTTATACAAGCAAGGTCACTGGGAGTCATTCTTAAGATTTCGCCTAACACAACCCAACCCCTGATCCTCAACAATCCATGTCTGTCCCACAAGTGAAATACATTTACCCTATCCTCAGGTTCGAAATGGAATCATTCTATTACAGCATCAAGTCCAGAGTCTCTTAGAAATTCTACCAGCTTAAAAGTCCCATAGCTCATCATCTAAATCAGATTAGAACAGGCTCCGGTGTAATCCATTAAGTACGGGTCCTGGGCAAAGTTCTACATCTGTGGACCTGTGAAACTAAAGAAAATGTGACCTGCCTCCAACACTTCCACAGTAGTTGAATGGGCTTGGCATAAGCGTTACAGCTTTTCCAGTTAAAAAATAGGAGAGAATGGGGAACAAATAGCATTTTTACTTGTCTGCTTGTCCAAAGCAGTTTAAAAATCCAGCCAGGTAAACTCCAGGCAGAGTTCCTTGATTAGAGCTTCAAGGCCAGGCAGTAATGGGTGGTTTTCAGCTCTGCATTTTGGGTTCTTGGCTCCATCCTCTGAGCTCTGTTTCTGCCCTCTGCTTTTGTTTCCATCTTTTGAATCATTCTTTTTATGAAACATTGAAGTATAGTTGATGTACAGTAATTTACTGGTGTACAACATGGTGATTCACAGTTTATAAAATGCTATACCACATTTATGGGCTGCCCAGGTAGCACTAATAAAAGAACCAACCCTCATGCCAATGCAGGAGATGTAAGAGAGATGTAAGAGACGTAGGTTCAATCCCTGGGTAGGGAAGATCCCCTGGAGGAGGGCATGGCAACCCACTCCAATATTATTATTTTTTTAAATTAATTTAATTG